ACCCTATTCCACCTGAACAGGTGATGCAATGCCAATCTGAAGAGGATTGTGCTCGGGTTGCGAAATGCCTCCCACTAGCTGAAGCGGCCTTACTTGACTGGGCCGTTAATTTGATGGCTGACGTCGTCCAAGAAGAAAAGATAAACAAGATGAATGCTCGAAACATTGCTATGGTTTTTGCACCAAATATGACTCAGGTGACAAATCGTCCTAGCAGCAAACTGGCAATATGTTTACTGCTAAATTCTGATAATCATATGGTTAGGTGAATGCTTACGGGTGACGCATATCATGCAGATGGCAGATCCTTTGACTGCACTAATGTATGCAGTCCAAGTGATGAATTTTCTGAAGATGCTAATAGAGAAGACCCTGAAGGATAGAGAGGAGTCCAATCTGGATGATGTGTCCTTGCCCCAAAAGGACCCGTCTGATGAAAACGGGCATCATAACCCTGGCTTGGCCGTTGATTCTCATCATGCGGAAGGATCAAGGCGTCCTTCTTTCTTCAGCGAGGAACCCCTTCTGAACAGCCCTGCACACAGCACCGAAGACAAGCCTAACGAGACCAATCCTACCGGAGGAGACTCTGCACCTTCTGGCCAGACATTCATGAACACAGAGGGCTCTTGTCGATGGTCCCAACCTCTGCCTGCTGCTTCAGCCACCACTGATATTTCCTTGGCTTCAACACGGAACTCACTGCAAGGCAAGGGGAGCCGTAGCCTGAATAGTAGTAGGAGGACAAGGAAGGGCAAGGGGCAGTCCGGAGCACCCGCCGTCGCTCCTCCAACCGAGAAAAAATCACGAGGTGCAAGCATCGTGAGCCGGTTAAACTCCACGGTCGAACGGATCGAAGCGTGGAGATGAATGAGCTCAGATGCTACTGTCAACTCTCTTGTGTCGTAGAAGACTGACCCGGTGTGTTCCTGCGTGTAGGATCGACCGAATTTTGATGTGGTTTTCATTTCCTGTCAGGTCATGATCGTTGTATTCCTTTCTTTGATTTGCTTCCACACGTACGCTAACTTTTCTATCTTGCTTATCAGTTATACTTCTCACTGTTTCGAGTAAATTAAACACAGGCCGTTGCTTTCCGATGTACAAAAGTTTGTTGAAACCTCCGAAATTCTATATTCCGGTGGCTATCTTTCACTCTTAGTGTTATTGGAATGGTCAACTGGTAACCCACTATGATCTTTTCAGAGAGAGTATGTACACGGTTGCTGATATCATCCTTCCTTTTGATTTAGAAAGTAGATGATATACTTTGGCCATAAAAAGTTCTACAGGTTCAGTTCAGGAATTTATTCCCTGTTAAAGAAACCATAAAATACCTAGCCGCCTCCTCCACCCAACCCTAGCCGCCCCTCCTCCTCACCCCCTCCCCTCCTCTCTCCCTCGCCGCCGCCTGAGGCAGCCACCGGGCAAGCCCGGGGCGCCAAGGATGGTGGCGGCGGGGCCTCGGTTGCTCTGCTCCTGTGTGGGGAATACCGGATCTGGAGCGACGACTCCATTGGAAGGCACGGCCGGCTAACAGTCGTGTTGGTGGTGGACCCAGTGTCCCGGCCGCGCGGGTGGCGTGATCCGGTGATCGTTGGCGGCCTGCGGCGGTTGGTGTGTGCGATCTGGCGCCTCCCTTCCTCCCCTATTCGGCGTGCGGGCCAGCCTGATCGGGCCGCGCTTCCTCTTGGTCGCCGGTTCTGTACAGGAGGTGCTGCTGGTGGCGGAGATCTAGTTCGGGCCAAATCCCTGCCCGGCCGCTCGGTGGCGGAGATCTAGTTCGGGCGAAATCCCTGCCCGGCCACGAGCGACCGCGCCGACGGCGACGCCTAAGGGCGCCGTTTCCCTCTTTGGAGGCGTCGGTATGGACTGATCTCCTCACTTCACCTTTCCCTAGGTCTCCCAGGCGAAAGCCCTAACTCTGTTGGGCGGCAGCGGCGCTCACGGCGTCGTTCCCTTCTTGAAGGCGCCGCTTTGGGAGCCTTGGGTTGGGTGACGCTTGTGGGTGGCGGGCGACAGCGGTGGTGCGACCCTTTCCTAGCATGGATTTACGTTTGTTGCTTGGAGATGGACTCGCGTAGGTGGAGGTCGTCGGCTGGCGTCGTGGTGGCGTCAATGGCGGAGGACCTGCCAAGGCTCGCGTAGGTGGAGGTCGTCGTTTGGCGTCGTGGTGGCGTCAATGGCAGAGGACCTGCCAAGGTTGTCACCTCAATCTGCTCTGAAGATGGACCAGTGGAAGATGGCGACGACGACACATGTGAGTGCGTCAGACCAGTTTGAGCCCCGGACCCGGCAGATGGCTCGGTCGGGACCTCCGGCTTTAAATGTTAGGCTTAGGTGAGAGGTATGAGCATGTGGCCCAGCTTGCACCCCTTCATCATTGGGATAGTAGTAGCCGTAGATGCTGTCAAGATGATAGATTCAGGCATATTGTTGTTATACTTTGTAAGGTCCTCCAAAATAATCAATAAAAATGGTTGTATGCATCTTCCAGATGTAGACGCCGGGTTATCCTCTTTTTTCAAAAAAAAGAAAAAAACCATAAAATGAATAAATAAATTTGTAATGGTCTTGACCTTTACCCCCTCCTCCCAACGCGCACGCACCGTCACAGCCGACAGAGGCAGCTAATACCTGACTAGTCTTCGCCCACGTCATCCTGACTAGTGAGTCGATTGTCGCGGTCCACCCGTCAGGGAGCCGGAACTGGTGAGTACACGTACACTGTTCCTGGAAAGTTGATCTTATTTTTTTTTGAGATTCAATGCAAATTGCATTAAACAGTGAGCGAAGCCAAATCGCTCGCCACTAGAACTGATACACATGGGTCGGACCCATCAGTTACACTGTTTGGCTCCCCTGCCATCAGCGAGCCCTTCGTCGCAAGGGTGTGTGCTACTTAATTATAGGTCCTAGAGCAGTGCATAATCTTGCATTCAATGAAATTATACATGATGGAAGCTTTTAAACGGTCAGCTACAACCCCTAGGCAAGAGAGATCGACACTAGTGTCATCCAACGCTTCCTTCAGCAGCAGAGCATTCGTTTCCAAGAAGACTCTGCCCATTCCCAAGTCTGACGCCAAATGAAGAGCAACTTCAGCAGCTAGCATCTCCGAATGTAGCGGGTTCGGCAGATTTGGCAGGAAGCCAGCAGCACATGCCATCGCCTCGCCCACATGATCCCTGAACACAGCCCCCTAGCCTCCATTGCAGTCTTTTGGTTTGAAAGAGCCATCAATGTTAATTTTAATCCACTTAGCCGGTGGTGGTTTCCATCGCTGCTGTGGCGTCAGCCCATACTTCGTTGGTTCCAGTTGGATGTCTCGAAACTCCTTCGTCTGATGCTCAATAATCCTACGCTAGTTGCTCCCGAATCTGTCTTTACATGAGATTGACTTTTTAACAGACAAAACAAGTTTAAAAATTCTTATAATTTTTGCAGATGCATATCAATGGTTTTTTAACGCAGTACAGACGCAAGTGCTCATATACACACGCATACACTCATCCCTATGAACGCACACGCACACCCTACCTCTATGAGCACCCCCGAAAGACTGAGGACTGTCGACGGGAACGTCTCCTCCCACTGAATGCGCATCGCCGGAAATTCTGAAATAAATCCAGAAATAAATGCGAGCACCAGAATTTGAATCCTGATGGGCTGGAGATACCACAGTCCCTTTAACCATCCAACCACAGGTTGGTTCGCTGCACATCAATGTTTGATGTACAACCTCAAGAAGTTTCAGGTACTAATCCGACCTACACTTATAGAAAAAGATAAAACCGAATGTGAATAGTGTCAAATACTATTCACTCAAAGCTGACACTATTCCCTCAAATCTGTCACTATTCACAATTGAATTTGTCATTTTTGTATCTCCAATTGTTGATTGAGTTTTGAACTGATTTTTTCTAGTTGTAGACATACAACATAGGTATGTTGTCAAATAATTTCAGAATTTTAAATATGATTTTTTTGGGTTGATCCTATGATTCTCACTTAAAGGGCAGATTCTATTCTAATCTCAGCCACTTTTTATCCTTCTAGTTTCTTGGATCTTTCCAAAAATAAAAGTTTATTGGACCAACGTCACCGACCTCACAATCTTTTTTTTTGCGGGGTACCGACCTCATAATCTTTATTCAAAGAAGCAGACGTAAATAATTTTCCTACAGATGAACTGCCTGAACTGAACTCTCACTCATTACTGAGCCATGGCAATATGGCATCCATCCATCCATATGTCCCCTCGTCGTAACTATCAGAATCGGGTAGCTTTATTCTATTCTGCATTGTTTTCCTTCACTCTTTTCGTTATTCTCAGTCCCAGTGCACCGCCACCACTGGTGGCACCGTTGTCGACGTACCGGTCCTGGCATCACCTGAAATCCCTGGCTGAAAATTTCTCACTGCCACGCACGCACACACCCACACTGAAAGCAGAAGCAGCTGGTGCCAAGTTACAGATTTCATGGTCCCAAAAGACAGATTCATAGCACTATCTACCCATGTGAGCTGCAGCATTACAGCACCGTATTCTTATTTTACCTGCATATTTGCTCTCACTCTGCAGTGTTGGATCGATCCACTTGCGTAAAAAGAAGGAAATATTCCAAATTCCATAGCCACAGAAAATGCCTCATTTTCTTATTTTGCAAAATGACAAGAAATGCCCGTATCTTCTTGGCCTCGCCTTTTCTCTGACTATATATGTGCTCGCCGTTCCTCGCAAGTGAGAAGAGCACAGGAAGATAGAAATCTCTTCTGCAAATTCTTAACTTGTCCGGATTGACAGCCCGTACAGGTGTTCACTCAGGTGAGCCAAGTGATCATCTCTCCATGGCATGCATGGTCACTTAGCATTAGTGCAATTTCGTTTTAGCTGAAAATTTTCATACTGAAAACACTAATCCTGATCAAGTGCGATTTCGTTTTAAGCTTCCTCTTTGCAGTGCAAAGATTTCATTTCAAGGTCAGGGGAGATAGACATGGCGGCGGACGGCGGGCTGAGGAGGCTGTTCGAGAAGCCTCTGCCGGAGAACCCGACGCTGCTGGAGGCGCTGTCGGCGTGGAACCGCGTCCACCCCAAGAGGCCCGTCGACCCGACATCCTTCACCGAGATCTTCGGCGAGCTCCACTTCCAAGAGAAGCAGCAGCCGGACCACGTCGCCCGGGGCAACGTCCTGCCGGCGCCGCGTCCGCCGCCTTCACCTCCTCTTGTTCGCGCGACCACGGTGTCGTCCTCGTCGTGGATCGACGCCGCCGAGAAGAGCAAGGACGACTCGTCTCTCGACGCGCTCCTCAGGTCGCCGAAGCCCACGCCGACGGTGAAGAGGAGCGCGAGCTTCTCCATGAAGAAGAGTCCGTCGGCATCGTCCCTGCTGCTCTGCACAGAGGGGCTCGGGTCCGAGAGCACCGTGGACGTGCTGAGGGATGACGACGACGAGCTAGCCGCCGCTTTCCGCCGCCAGGTGGAGACACGCGACGACGCGGACGTCGTCGACGCGAACCAGGAGGAAAAGGAGAACCAGCGGCCTCCGCCGTCGTTCCCGCCCCCGATACGGTCGATCAGCGTGCGCGGCGGGAAGCCGAGCGTGTGCTTCCGGTCGTTCCGTGCGGACGGCAGGTTCGTGCTGGTGGAGGTTGTCATCCCCGGGAAGGAGCTCCTGCGGGCGTCGCGCGAGGGCGGTCGGCTCAGGCTGCAGTTCGCCGGCGCCACCGCACACGCGTAGACCAAGACAGGACAACACGATGTTTGTGACGAGACTGGAAACACTGGCTGGATCATGCAAGAACACAGGATAATCATCTTGCTGCGTCTACGACGCACATATTGTATCGTATATATCGGGGTGTAAATTTGACTTTTTGAGAGTACTACTACATCAACGAATTCAGAATCTACTGCGCATCATGGCTCGTTGGATGGCATGCCGCCATTATAATGTGGGAGTTAAAAAGCACGGCCACGTATACAAAGGAATGCTTTGTCTAAGAAAAAGGGATGCTTTCCTTTCCGGATCCTTAAATCTGAAGTTTTTCATTTCTTTTCTTAGGCCTTCTTTAGTTTGTATATATGAATTTTCACTAGTGCAATTAACGTCTTCGCATTACGGTTAAAATCCCCTATTGCTCACACGGTCACGAACGCCGTCCCACGATGATGTGCGATAGGGGTACATCACACACGCTAAATAAGTGCGATAAGGTTTCAGGATGCAGATAGTTTGGCAAAAGCAATCATATACGATGATCGCACACGTGATTCTAGAGGTACCCGTTTGCCATACATCCGACGTCTTGAATGTTTCGTCCGTGGAGATTGTGTGTGATGATAGGCCTATCACACACCCTATACCGTGGCACAAAGTTTGCGATGCACCTAAGATCGAAGACGGTTCACGAGTAGGAACATGTATGATAAGGGGCCTATCACGTCGAATATTCATTTCTGGACCCAAGCTCATCCGATGTCGATGAATGGTGAAATAAATAAAAAATCTGTTTGATAAGGACATCGCAGGTTCACCTAGTTCGTCATGTTCTTTTCATGATAAAACTTAGCTCTCAAATGAAGCCACTACAAAGAATACCTATTTGGGTCCGATAACAAGAGTCGTGCCAAACAAATAGAACAAGAGGTGGATGCGACTAGAATCTTTTTTGAGAGTTCACTTCCTCCTTAGCTCTTGTAATCTTGCCTTGTGGGAGGCTAAACTCACTTCGTGATTTTAGAACAGTAGCCGGTGAGGCGGCGACCAATTCGTGCTTCCAACTTCGTGCGTGGTTGCGTGGATTGAAAACTCAGAGTGTGGTTGGGCGAATATTTGTTCTTGGTGTTGCATATGCAATAGTTGGCTTCGGTCTCGTCAAGTTACACTAGTTATCCGTTACCCGACATCATTGTTGGCTGGGATCGAGGGTTTCTAATGCAGAGCATCCTACTGGCATCACCATATCAAGAGTTCATTTGGCAGGTGACACGTGCGACATCTACTTCGCATACACAAAGGTGAATCATGTCCTTTACATGTGTTCACTTGACCCCTTCAAGGATGGTATACTACTTGACATTCCTCTCGTGTGCATGCATAGGTATTACCAGAGCTTCACGGAAGACGAGGAGGAGTGCAAGCGTCAAGGTATAACTACGCCATCCGTGAGGGAAGCGTGGAAACAAAGACGCAAGAAGAAGAGCTGCCGAAGAAGCTACAACGAGCGTACGACCGGCCACCCAGCGGGCGTCGGGCGCCTGAAGCTACAACCAACATCAGCTACAACACCTCCCAGCGAGCGGATGTCTGGCCCACACCGAACGACCGGTAATATTAACGTAAGTCCGAAGATACTGGATGTCCGATGCCTCTTCAACAGAACGGATTTAGCGGACGTCCGGCGACCAGCGGACAACCGGTCTCCCATGAGCCACCAGACGACCGGTACCCACCGGACATCCGGTAACTGCCTGTGCGCAGCCGCGGGCCTTTGGCCTTGTATCCCTTCCCACTTACTCCTTCGAGGCTTAGACTATAAATAGACCTCCCCCTCATCCTTTCTAGGGCTAGCAAAGTGATAGCTCATTTGTATGTGAGCTTTGCTCCTCCTACTCTTCTCTTGAGAGAGAGAGAGAGAGAGAGAGACCACCACTCCCATGGAGTTCAAGACCTCCATGTGAGAAGATCTTGCGGGATATATCATCAAGACCCCTCACGGGCGGACCCCATCAAGACCTCCTCTTGGAGATGAACCTTACCTTGTATCTTTCCCTTTGTTGTTCATGTACCTTGTGGATCTTGTGTGTTTGATTGTCTAGTGTATGTGTGATTGAACTTGTTCTTGAGTGTTTTCCCTTGTGATTTCTCTCCGTTCTTTCCCGTGTTCATCGTGTTCTTGGTAGGATTCCCTCCAAAGGTGAAAGATCGGGCGTCTAGGGTTCACCCTACATCATCTTGGTATCATGAGCCACGTTGATTACATATTTGGAATCCCTCCCACCGTTTTCTAGCCTTCTTTTGTTTGATTTCGTCCTAAATTTTAAAAATCCTCACAAAAAATAGCCCCAATTTTTTTGTGATTTGTTGGTTTGATGATGTTTTGTTGATATTGATCCATGGATTTGCTTGGTTTCGAGTGGATCTAGTATTTCCTCATGTTTCCCCATCTTTTATCCACGAAATCTCATCAATTTTGAACCCAAAATCTCCATTTCCGCCCAAAATCGCGTCTCGGAGCTCAAATCTCGCGTTGACCCAGACCCACCGGACGACCGACGTTTACCAGACGTCCGGACCCTCTCGAAGAACCAGACGACCGCTGCCTTCCGGACGACCGGTGCCACCCAACAGAATGAGATTAGCGGATTTCCGAGCCCACCGGACGTCCGGCGACCGGACATCCGTCCATTAGCGGACGTTCGACACCTGTAGATATTGACTTCGGCTGATTCTTGTTTCGGCCATAACTAATTCATTCGAACTCCGATTTTAATGTTCTTTAGCTCATTTTGAAGCTATTGACTTCCCCTATCCCATTAAAATACCACAAACATCATTTGACTCCATCAAATTTTTCAAAATTTGGCAAGTTTGCCTAGGCCCTCCACCATATCATCCGCATAGCCACCATAGCCTTCCGCAACCTAACCCATTTTGATCCCCATTACATTAGTGGTTGCTTGAGTAGTGATTCGAGTCTCCTAAGGTGTTTCGGCTACTTGGGTACGGTTGCTTCTTCATCAACCACCACCTCCACTTCCGCATAAGCTTGCCCACCATACATTTCGCCACCCCAACTTAACCCAATTTTTGTTTGAGCTTGTTTGAGTTGTGGCTTGTGTCTCCTAAGGTGTTTTGGCTACTTAGGGACGACAACTTCAACTTCGACTTGCATAGTCCATCATCCCACTTCCGCATTGCCGAGTGCAAACCACCACCGCTTTCCGCTACCACCATTTGACATTTACCTTTGGAGATTTTGAGTTTGCGGTTTTTCCGTTTCCTAGGGTGTTTCGGCTAACTAGGAACGGGTCGAGATCGGCAACACCGCCTCTCATCATCGCCAAGGACGGTAACCTCGACGACACCATTGTATATTCCCCTTGCAATTGCATTGTTAACCCCTAGCCCATTTTGCGTCACTTGCCTATCGAGACTAGCCATTTGAGTATTGCCGGCAACATTACTTGTGCACATTAGTGATCATTGGTCTACACCCTCTCATTGCATACATACCATATCATTGTGGTGCATATCTTGGTATCATATCTTGTGTCACAAGTTTGTTCCCGCATATACACAATTGCTATCTTGATTAGTGCATTGTGCAAAAGTGGCCATACAAAAAAAAACAAGCTTTTAAGCAAAAGAAACAGAGCAAAGAAGCTTGTAAGCAAGTGCCATAGCATCATACCACATTGCATATAAGATTGTCATATCCGATCATCCTGGTTCATCTTGAGAAGAACACCGGGAACCATACATACATAGCATACTTGGGATACAAAGTTTATCCATTTTGCATCTTATAAGTTGTGCACAAGTGTCATCCGCCTATTGAGCAATCGTGCTAGCGTCTCTCTTGAGTTGTGCAACACGAGCGTTTTCCGTGGATTCCATATTTTGTGCTCACTCCTTGGTTGCACGACCCTATTTATCTATATGTGTGTGCGTTTTTGTGTGCCATTCTTTTCTATTGGTCTACTTGTTTCACTTGCGAATTTGTGAATCTCTTTCAACATTATTGACTCTTGCTAACATTTTGCATCAAATTTTTGTGCCACTATCCTCACCGAGCTCCACCATAAGCTTTACTTGATAGGTGTGAGTGAACAAGTCCGGTACCAATTCCACTATTCTTTCATTCACATTGACTGGAACGGGATACATCCTCAACTTTGGGAAAAGGTAACTTGGTATTGTTTATCTCATTTCCTACTCACCTCTACTCGAGTATTGTGATGGATAGGCAAGGCATTTCACCTTCGGTCTACAACAACGATGAGTTCGATGCCACTAAAAACAACTCTGATGCCAAGATGCAAGATCAAATGGAGGAGATCAAAGCCCTCATCAAGTCCTACAAGCGATCTTCCTCATCTTCGAGAAGATGCTCAAGAGCACATGCTTCTGAGCTACCATCTCCGGCAAGATCACATCGGCATCGACACCATCACCAAAAAGAATGTGAAGGTCAAGAGCTCAACACTAACAACCGCTCAAAGACTTCACCATCTCCCTTGGCATCATCACCAAGCGACTTCAAGGCATCTTCGCCTATGGACATACGACATCTTCGCCAACAAGCACCCCAAGACTACGCTCAAGATAAGCTCCCCAAGCTCAAGTCCGCAACTTCCACGAGCTACTACGACCTCGACACCAACAATGAGATTCCTTTCTATGGGACTCAAGAACCCGAGGAGTATCTCGAGTGGGAGCGCTTGATGGACGACTACCTCAAGCTACATCAAGTTCGTCCCAAAGATCAAGTGAAGTGCACCACAAGAAACTTCCACGACTACGCATCGGCATGGTAGCTTCACACACCTTCGGAGAGCTATGACATGAGTTGGCCCAAGATGAAGAGAGCTATGAGGCAAGAGTTCGTGCCTCCAACCTACACAGAACAACTTTGATGCCAATTGGAGAACACTATCCAAGGATCCAAGTCCATCGACAAGTACTTCAAGGAGATGACGATTGCCTTGCGACGAGCTGGCATGGACAAACCCATT